GCAAGGTAGTATCGTTTACAAGAGGTGCAATAGGTTGAAAAAGTACAGAGAATATTCGCCCCTCCTCTTGCACTTCTTGTAAATCAACACCATCGATATACCTGCTCCCACTAATGTTGGAGTTCTCTAAGAACTCAGCATGTCGAGTATCAACGATGCGAGTAGTGTGAGACAGGCAATAAAATCGAGAACCCTTTGAGTGTTCAGGGTATCCTATAAAGGAGCAACTGACGGTTTTCATGTCGAGCTTCCTTTGTTGGGGATTATAAAGCTTAGCTTCAGCCGGGCAGCCCCATACTTTCATATACCTAAGGCTCGGTTTCCTTCCCGTCCAAATTTCATAAGGGGTTTTCGGAACAGATTTAGAAGGAACCCTATTAAGTATATGAACTGCTGTTTTTAAGGCTTCGGTCCATAGAAATTTAGGTAGGCTTGTATTGGATAACATACTTCGTACCATGTCCGTGAGGGTCCTATTTCTTCTCTCAGCAACACCGTTTTGCTGAGGAGTACCCGGCATGGTAAATTAATTCACGATCCCATGTTCCTTACAAAATTCAAAGAAGGGTCCAGGAGCCTGACCTATATCAATATGTCTACCATAATACTCACCTCTTCTATCTGATCTCACTACCTTTATCTTACGGTCGAGTTGATTCTCAACCTCGGTCTTAAAGGTTTTGAACATGTCAAGTGCATCAGATTTTTCATTGATTAAGTACAAATACATATATCGCGAATAATCATCTATAAAAGTGATAAATGACTTATGTCCGGTTATTCTAGCGGGAAAAAGACCACAAATGTCAGTATGAATTAATTCCAGTAAACCAGAACTCCTTGTGGCGCCTCTTTTATTTCCCTTTGCCATTTTAGCTTTAAGGCATTTTACACATGTTTCAAAATCATTAAAATCGAGAGATGGTAATATTCCATCCTTCACAAGCCTTAGCATTCGATCCCGTGAGATGTGGCCCAAACGTTGATGCCACAACATGGATGAAGTTTCCAAGTCTCGTTTTCTTTTGATTGGATTTTCGTTGATATTATATGAGAACAAGGATTTTGAAAAAGTATCATCCAAGCATAATTTATAAAGGTTGTCTTCTAAGCAACCATAACCAACAACATCAGAAACTTTTCATATAGTAACCCTACCATTATTAAAAGTTAATACATAACCATTATTGTTTAACTTAGGTACAGATACTAAATTCCGAGTAATGCTCGGTACATACAATGTGTCATATAAATACATGCAGAAGCCACCCTCCAATACTAAAGGTAAGGTACCAACAGCTTCAACATTAATATCTTCACCATTCCCGATTTTAATGGTCCTTTGGTTTCTTTCCAACCTCCGGATTGTATGGAATCCCTGTAAGGAGTTTGTAACATGAACCATGGAACCAAAATCAATCCACCGTGTGTTTATCGGAACACTTATATTAAAGGACTCATAAATCATAAATAGATGTGTACCTTTCTTGGCTAACCATTCCTTAAACTTAGTGCACTCTCGTTGAAAATGTCCTTTCTTATGACAAAATTTACAACGAGGAGGATCCTTGGCATTGGTTGAGCATGTGACCGCACTTGTACCAATTTTGTGGACCTTTGAGCTTTCACCAGCCTTGAACTTGCCTTTTCTCTTGCTAGTGTTTGCGGTTGTGAGATGGGTGACATCGGGCTTTTCCACTTTGAGGCGCTCCTCCTCTTGTACGCACATTGCTATTAACTCACTCATTTTCCATTTTTCCTTTTGAGTGTTATAGTTAATTTTAAAAGGACCAAATTGTGCAGGCAAGGAGGTCATAATGAAGTGGACTAAGAAGCCCTCGCTAATCTCCATATCCATACTCCTAAGTTTGTTAGCCATGTCACTCATCATCATAATGTGCTCACGCACACCACTCACACCGTCATATTTCTTTGTCAACATTTGCAAGATTAATGTACTCGCATGAGCCTTGGAGGTGCCCTTGAATTGCTCTTCTACGGAGTCCAAGTAAGTTTTCGCATTGTCCGAATCCGGAATGGCTCCACGAATGGCAACCGAGATAGAATTCTTATGATCATAAGAGACATGCAATTTGATCTCTCCCACTATTCATGCACTCGTTTATGCTCTTGAGTACTTTCGACAGTGAGTGCAGCGGGAGGATCATGTCTTAGGGCGAAATCAAGATCCATAACTCCAAGGGTCAGTCTCACATTGTCTCTCCATGACGCAAAATTAGTGCCAGTTAAGGGTTCAATTCCACAATTTGATGTTAAAGTGGTTGTTGGAGAGTCATAAGATTTAAGTGTATGCACAACGATTGAACGAGAGAAAATTAAAATTTGACAAATTTAACATAAAGTATGTCTTGTTTAATAATTGGTTTCACTTTGGCTACATAGGCATCGCACATCACCTTTGGGCAGAATTGTGATGTCTATGTTCATAAAGTCAATATTACAATCATATGTATCATTAAACAACTAGCCGTTGGGTTTATTGTATAATGTTACATGTAATTTTGCACAAAGTCCCAAATTAAAACATGCAATCTATTTTTATAATATTGTTTCGAGAGCATAAATGGGGTGCAAAATTTATCCACATTACCTTAAATGTCTTCCGTTGGGCCGGCAATTTAAGTTAATAATTTAACGGATTCGAATCATTACATAAAATAGAATAAATGTGCAAATCTTTCATCATCGCATGGCACGTCAAAAAAACTTCTTAAGAATAATATGTACACGATCATAATAACAGTTTTAGATGCCACTTAACGACAAACTTGAAGTTATACTCCACATACATAAAGTTTTACATGATGTACTTCATAATAATTATACTCCATTTATGTGAAGTATAATAAATTACATCATTATAATCCAGGCATTCAAAAAGAATCTTCCACAATCATATTGAGTAATATAGTTATATATTAAAATGACAAGTAATAGTTTATACTCCCTCCATTCTCTAATAGATGGGAGTATAGCCTTTGACACAAGATTTAAGAAGGAATTAATAGGGGTAAGATAAAAGGTGTAGTGGGTTGTGTGTAAAGGTAAAAGTAGGAAAGAGAATGAAAAAGTAGGAAAGAGAATGAGGGTAAATGAGTATATTTATTGAAAAAACTTACCAAAAGTAGAAAGGGAGACAACTAATAGAGAACATCCCAAAATGGAAAGAGGACCAAGTATTAGAGAACGGAGGTAGTATTACGTAGTAACATATTACAATGCCACATATAATGCCACCAGGGGCGGACCCAGGAAAGTCATTTTGGGGGGACGAAAATATTTTTGGGGGGGTTCAAAATACTTTTTGGAAGAGCAAAAATCATTTTTCGTATATATATACACTAAAACAAATTTGTTGGGGGGCGGTAGCCCCCCTGGGTCTCTACTACGGTCCGCCCTTGAATGCCACAATACATACTCCGTCTTTCATAATAGAAGAACACATTCACAAACTTAATATACTCGTTAATATGATTATATGAAGCACTCCGGTAGATTAATTTACATGCTCTTAACGAACAATAATCCATATACTTTAATCATTATTGTCCCACTTCCTTTATTTATGTAATCTATACAAGTATAAATTATAACAGTACTCCACGAAATAAAAATAAACCAACTGCTAACATATGAAGATACGATCTATATATTTGCACAGAGTACTCCACGAAATTCTGGATACGCCACTGCATTTTAGGAAAAACTTTCATTTTAATACATATTTGAAAAACTATATTTTAGTTTGAAATTTGATTTAGGGCCTCATTTGAAACAGAGAAAATGACTTATTAGACTCGGAACACTTATTTTTAACCTGCTAGATATTCAATCTAGGTGTAGAACATAAAAGAATCTAACATACTTGGGCCTATAACACTATTATGGCCCATGTTATCCATTCATAGGCCAAACTCAATGATTATTTATCCTAAAGTTACAAACAAATGATGTTGTAATTTCATTTCATGTGAAAGTAAAGTGATGCGTTAAATCATACTTCGTATGACACTGTCACATTCTTATTTTGTAAGATGTTTTTAAGAGCAACAATACTATTGATACACACTTTTACACACTAGTTGTGTAGACTTTTTTTTTGTTTGTACAAACAAAACGTGTTTTCGTCGAAACACATTTTGTTGTACAGACAAAAAAACGTTTGCACAGATAGTGTATAAAAGTGTGTACCCAAAAAGTGTGTACCTCAAATCCAACTCTGTCCAACTTTTTTAAGAGGGGATGTATTCATAACTTAAATAAATGAGAAAAAGGTGACAGGGCCTCGAACTTACAAAAAGAATGTCAAATAAGGCCTTATATAGGAGGTTCTGTCCGGTCGATGCCATTTGGGTGGTTCCTGGTGGAATGTTTCGATACAAATTTTTGAGAATCTTATTCATTAAGTCTAGTTTAGTCATACCAAATTTCAGCTAAAAATTCAATCGGGAAGGCGTTCAAATAAATTCTTGAAGATAACTACGCTTTTAATCACGCACTTATCTTCAAGAGTTTATTTGAATGTCTTCCCAATTGAAGTTTTAGTTGAAAATTGGTATGAGTAAAGTAGACTTAATGAATAAGATGCTCAAAACGTTTCATTGAAAACTTTCACCGGGAACCGCCTCAAATAGCGTCGGTCGGACAGAATCTCCTATATAAGCTCTTATTTGACATTTGTTTATAAGTTCAAGGCCTTATGTGACCCTTTTCCTTAAATAAATCCATTTGAGCTTTCTTCTCATCAAATGGGAAGGATTTTCCGTCCAAGTTTGATTAAGCGGTATAAAATATTAATTGGCTTGACCGGTATTCAATTTAGGACCAATTCTTTTAAGAGGTATGTATTCATAACTTAGTGTGTACACCAGCAACCATTTTCCATAGTGGACACGTCAAACGTGTTTGTCAATCAAAAGAGTTGAAACTTCTCTCGTCATTATATACTTCCAACCTTTCCTCCTCTTAATTAATCTGCACACAAATTATAATTATAAAGCTCTGACCTTTCAATATATACCTTCCCCACTCCCCAGTCTTGTTCAGCCCAAGGTTATGGACCCAGAGGCTGTAATAAACACTTTCGATTCTTGCTGGTTCAATCTTCAAATCCTCAAGAAACGATCAAACCCACCATCTTCCTCGAGCTTTGAGAACACCCCAGACAGCAAAATTCTCCAAAACGTTTCAACACCAAAGAGATTCTCAAGCTTATTGGCAGTTGAAACCAGGTCAAAAGACGAACTTTTGCGGTCAAATACCGGGTACAACTCCGACTCCTTTTCCCCTGTTTCAGTCCTCCCGCCGGATTCTGTTTTCCAAACCACGCCGGAAGTGAAGAGGGGAAACAGAACAAGAAGAACAGGGAGGAGAAAGGGAGAGAATGGTGGATGGGGTAGCAAGAGCTTGTCAGAGCTGGAGTTTAAGGAGCTGGCGGGGTTTATGGATCTTGGGTTTGAATTCTCAGAAGAAGATGTAAATTCAAGTCTGGTTGAGATCATTCCTGGGTTGCAGAAGCTGGGCAAGAAAGAAGAGGAGAAAGAAGCTTCAGAGAAGTACCTAAATAAGTCTGCTAAAGCCAGGCCTTATCTCTCTGAAGCTTGGGAGGTTATGGGGGAAGAAAAGAAAGGGAAGAACGGATTAATGTACTGGAGAATCCCACCACTGAGCAATGAGGTGGTCATCAAAGATAGTCTCAAATGCTGGGCTCATACTGTGGCAGCAGCTGTTAGATGATGATAATTAATGTTAGTTTTTCAGTCAATCATTTCTGTTGCATGTTAGGATTGTGATGATTTTTGTTTCGTGTGTTTTTGGTCTTCGAATATGTAAAAACAGAATTAGAGACACATGTGCGGTTTTAGCTGTTGTATTCCACTTTTTCCATCTAGTCAGAACAGTCTCTGGTCTAGAATAAGAGAATTTCTGATATACGCATCGTACAAAGAGAGAATGCATATGATGTTTTGAAGAGTAATGCTAGAAAGACATTATGAGAGTTTGTCTTACTACCACCATGTTTCTCTTGCTAACTCCTATCGTATTACTCAATGTCGCCCATACTTCAATAGGGTACCGTATCAGCTTATCGAAAATGTTTCCGTATCTGATACTCAAGGATATCCGTACCGTATGTTCCCGAATCGTATATGTAATTTTTAAAAGTTTCCAATTTTTTATAATTATTTTAAAATTTCGGATACTCGTATCCTGACGGATACACGTATGAACTTTTAAAAAAACACGTACCCAAAATTTACCTAATAAAATTCTTAAAATATAAAAAACTAAAAATAAATTTTATGTGGTACACATCTAATGGGCCTATCCCTAATTCACTCATCTTTAATTTACTCATCCGGCCTATCCCTAATTCACTTACGTAAGGCAGGGAGCAAGCGACAAGCAGAACGAGCAAGTCATATGTGAACCAATAATTCACTTAAGTATTTTCTACTCCGTATCTTTTGTTTTATGTCTTCGTTACTCAAGAACTTTGAGTATCTGCACTTTTTATTTCAAAATTGTGGTTGTTTCACTTATTTCTCATTTTAAATTAATTAATGACTTATTGACTATATTTATATTTTGAGATATACTAATGTGTATGAGATAAAAGATGAATTTATTTCTAAGTATCTTGATAACGTATATAAAAGATTGTAATTTTTAATATTTATAAATACACCCTCATAATTCTTAATATTTATAAATATACCCCCCATAACTTCTAATATTTATAAATATACCCCTACCCCTGTATTCGTATCATACTTTTTTTTGTCATATCCCAATACTCATTTCCGCGTTTCCTCATACCGGTATCCCGGTATCGGTCCTACATAAGTATTACTTTGAAAGACAATAAATATTAATTGCCTGGTGACTCAAATTAGTCCTGGAATTTTAAGATCAGGCATTCAATAAAAACATCACAAATTCACGAATTTAGTATCTTGAATTCAAAATCTCGTGTATCAAAGAATCACTTTATTTTACCAAAAAAAGGAATCACTTTATTTTACTCGAATCACTTTATTTTACTCGAATCTCAATTATAGTTTTTACATTTCAATCATTAGTAAATGGGTCGATCCAAAATGGGACACATGAATGGAACCGATATACATAGATAGTATGTTACGCGTGTGAGTCGTGTGACATGTAATTGGATATTTTATACTCTCATTTTGATAAACCTTTCACCTAAAAATACGTGAATACCTTTAATTTTTATCCTAATTTAAATTTCTTCTCCCCCAACCACTTTCTTAATTCATCATTTCTCTTCTCTAAACATTTATTTTATTTTATCATGAAAAGCCTGCTATCTCTCCTATTATTTCAGTCCATGAAACCTTCATATTAGGCACTACTCGTTATCAAATGCCTGAGGGAGTACTCATTTAGTCATTTATTAATAAAATTAATAAAGTTGTGAAGAGCTCTTTTACTTTCGAAATTCCTCTCTTCTGTTTCTGTTCAGTCTGAGAATCATATGTATGCGTTCAATCTAAAAAGTATTACTTCTGTCCTGCTATGATTGTCCTATTTTACTTTATTGGACCGTTCCACTAGGATTGTCTCACATCAAATTTGGTAAATTTTGTGTGACTCTAAATCATTTTTACTTTATTCTTACTTTATAAATTCAATATCAATCACATTAACCATTTTTTATTAATTTGCGTGTCACTCTCTTATTCCATTGTTAGCGGGACGGAGGGAGTAGTTAATAATATGCTTTGTATTACTCATCAAATATGCTCTCTAATAACTCATCCATCAAATGATCGAATATTCCTTATTTCTAAGCTGTCGCATGTCATATATCCTTGAAGGTGTTTTGAACAAATTTTAGGTACAAGAAGATGCCAACTTACTTACTTATTCTATTTGTACACATTCTTATACACGTTCTTATACACTTGTCTGTGATAGGTCATTTTTTTGTCTGTGAATCGGCATGTTTTGTATGTCACAGATAAAAACAATATCCACAGACAAACAAATGACCTATAAAAACAAATGTATAAAAACATGCGTATAAGAAAAGGTGTAGAAATATATTTTTTGAATTTACTTTTGTATAAAAACTTTTGTGTTGTCATTGTCCTGATTTCGCCAGACTGACTCTTGGCTGTCAGTAATTCACCCCAAACCTTAAGGAAGTCAATTTGAGCCGTTAGAACAATTCCCTAGGTTTCCAGGCGGAATCCTAGCACATCTCTACACCACCGCGCATGAAAAGTCGCATTTAACTATTTTTTTTTTGTTAATTTTGCTATAGGTACCCCAACTTTACCCCATTTTCTACCCCATATAAATACTCCCTTTTTTACCATCTATTTTACTCCTTCCAAACATCTCTCATCCCACATCCCCTCATTTGTTTCTCCTATGTCCCCTTCTATTCTCTCACCTCCATTCCCCATTTTTTCTCCTCTTTTCATTTCAAGCTAACAGCTCTCATCTCCATTTTTGAAGTTTTCAAGACCTACCCATTTAGTTGTGTCTAAGGTAACCATCCCTTCTCAAATCATGAGTTACGTACTCCATTTACGATTTTTCTTCATGTGCGTTTTTTATTTTTATTTTTTCCTTTTTTCGATTTTATGTATATTATGTATGATATAAAAGGGAATAATTGATTATTTTGTTTCATTGTAATGTTTTTGAGGTGTTACCTAATTAAAATTTTAGTGTAATTTCTCTATTTCATTTTATGCCCATAACATGTTTGTAGAAATTACTCAATGAATTTTTTGTTGAAATTCAAGACTTTTTTCCATTTTTTTGTACCTCAAGGGAAGAAGATGATGAAGGTGTGAACGTTGAAGGCTTGGAGCAGAGTATGTTGTTTTTTGTCATTTGTTTGTATTTTGTTTGGCGGACAGACAATTTAGAACTGCAGTGTCTGTCTAGCTTAAAGTGAACACGGTTTTGTCTTAAAATCTGGGCCAATTAATTACTCTCTGTCTTACAACCAGACAAATTTTGTCTGGGCCAGACATTAGTAGTCTGGGCCAATTAACTACTCTTTGTCTTACAGCCAGACGAATTTTGTCTGGGCCAGACATTAGTAGTCTGTGCCAATTAACTACTCTATGTCTTACAGCCAGACAAATTTTGTCTGGACCGGACATTAGTAGTTTGGGCCAATTAACTACTCTTTGTCTTACAGCCAGACAAAAGTTGGCTGTGCCAAACAATAGTTGTCTCTTACACACAAATTGACTATGCCCCGCATATGTTATTTGTGCCAAATATGTGTTCTGACTACGTGTTGTGTATTAATTGTAGGTATTCACTTCAAGCTGACGAATGGCTTAAAATGCAAGGCTGAAAAACAGTTCCGAGCGAACGCTAATTCATTTACAAAAATGATACCATGTGACTTCTTTTGCAAGAGATTATATGCACTAGTCTTGAAGAATGCTGAAGTATAGAGTGTTGGAAAATGTGTCCATTTTGAACTTGTGATTTTTTGAACATGTAATTTTTTCATATACAATTGGGAAAATGTGTTGAATATTGTACAATGCTACATGTTCAATGTTGAAAATTATTGTCTTTCGACGTGAAAGTAATGTTTGTCTGGTTATCCCTGTTGTTTATCTATTCAATGGGGTGTACATGAACAAATACAATCATATTTTCGAACACTTTAACAATTACTAAACTCATCAAAATGTACTAGAAAATACAGTTTTACTAAACTCACCAATGCCTTGCCAGACAACTACTTTCACATGACAGACAACTATAAACAAATTTTAAACAATTAAAAATAAATTGACAGACAACTCCAAGTCATTGAAGTCTTTCAATACTTCAATGATCAGACCATCGTCCTCTTCTTCCCCAGATGGCATATTACCTCTGTCACCATCGTATGGGTTGCCAGAAAACTTTAAAACATTTTGACTGAAAACTACAACCCAATTTTAAAGAATTCCAAATGACGTGCAAGACAATTCAAATGGGCTGCCAGACAACTAATTTTACCTGATAGACAACTACAAAACGATTTTCAATAATTTAAAATAAAATGATAGACAACTCAAATGTCTTGTCGGACAACTACTTTCACATGACAGATAACTACAAACCAATTTTAAACAATTGGATTTAATGTGGCAGACAACTAAAATACCTTGCGAGACAATTACTTTCACATGACAGACAACTATAAACAAATTTTAAACAATTCAAAATAAATTGATAGGCAACTCCAAACCAATTACATAATATTCAAAAAACCATGACAAACATCTCAATATCATCACAAAGTAGTCTAAATATACACAAGTACTTCACAATTTCACCAGACAGACAACTATTTTCACATTACAGGCAACTCGAATGGAATGCCAGACAACGCTTTTCACATACAGACAACTACAAATCAATTTTAAAGAATTTATTTCACATTACAGACAAATTAAATTCAATGCCAGACAACTCTTTTCTTTTCAGGTTTGCTGGCGTAGAGAGCACTTGGTCCAGCGCACGTCGGGCTCGAGCTCGAAGGCACAGTAAGTATCGACCCCAACAATCACCGCCATGGCAAAGAGCAACAGATCTGGTCTTCGCTGACGGCGAGTTTGGTGACGGCGTCGGAAACTACCGCTTGTCTTTACGAAGCAGAGTGGGCTCTTCATCCGTCTGAGCAGCAGATCTATCCCAGATATTGTGGAGAGACAAGATGCGGCCGGCGAGGCGGCAGAGCAACTTCTAACAGCGTCTGCCGGCGCTCCTGCTGGCGACGATCTTCAGCAGATGACACGCCATGGGAGTGACGGCTGCTCCATGTGAAATCCTCTTTTCTGATTTCTTTTTGTTTGTGAATGTGCCAGAACGAGTGGGAAGGGGAAAGTGAGATGAGGGTGAAAGGAAGATGAGGGGTAGGGGAGATGAAGGAGTGGGGGTAAATTTTTGGGATGGGTTTTATATGGGGTACAAATTGGGGTAAAGATTGGAGTACCTATAGCATTTTTGTTTTTTTGGAGAG